TACGAGCTTCTGCGAAGCACGTATGCCGGGATGAGACAGGTTGTGTAAAGCATTGAAAACTAGTCGACGCATTGAGGTAGGAACTACGGGTCGGGGAGAAGTTTGTGAAACGTCACAAAGAATGGTCCCTTCAGATGAAGCTAGTGGGACTTCACGTAGTTTTAACGAGGTGTTGCGTCGTAGTTTGTCTGTGTCGGGATCAGCTTGTTGGGCAGCAGCCATAGCGGCTAGATCAATGTTGGTGCCAGGCGATAAGCTGATCTGCTGAATGCGTGAAAGCGCATCCGCGACGGGATTGAGAGCACCTGAGACATGGCGTACGTCTGTCGTAAACTGAGAAACGTAGTCTAGGTATCTAGTTTCCCGCGGCGAGTACTTGTCCGTTGCGCCATTGATTGCGTAGATCAATGGCTTGTGGTCGGTGAAGACGGTGAAATGTCGACCTTCGAGGTAGTGACGGAAATGTCGGATACCTAGGTAGATAGCTAACAGTTCCCTACCGAAGGTGCTGTAACGCGATTCGGCAGGTTGTAAGCGCTTTGAGAAGAAACCTAGAGGTATCCATCGATGGTCGATGAGTTGCTGAAGAACTGCACCGACGGCAGTGTCTGATGCGTCAGTTGTCAGAGAGAGTGATGCAGACGTGTCTGGATGGGCGAGAAGCGCTATGTTGGAGATAGCGTATTTAAGCTTCTCGAAAGACAATTTAGCGTCGTCTGTAAAGTGAAAAGACCGTTGTTTACCGCGGAGCAAGTCAGTCATTGGTTGAACAATGCTCGCGCAGTTAGGTATGAAGCGTCTATAATAGCTGACCAGGCCAAGGAATCGGCGTAACGGTTTGGAGAAACTGGGAGCAGGATAGTCCTTCAGTGTCTGGATTTTGTCTGGCAGAGCTTCAATACCAGAGGCGGGTATGCGGTGGCCAAGAAAGTCGATGGAGCTTTGGCCAAGCTCGCATTTATCGGGGTTGACGGTAACCCCATGCTGCGTTAAGCGCTGGAAGAGAGCGTCGAGGTGATGAAGATGTTCTTCATCTGAAGAGCTCGCGATAAGAATGTCATCTAGATACGGATAAACGCCTTCGAGTCCTCGCGTTACCTCATGAATGAAACGCTGAAAAGTTTGGGCAGCGTTGCTGAGGCCGAAAGGCATTCTGAGGTACTCGAATAGGCCGAATGGCGTGATGACTGCTGTTTTAGCAATGTCATCTGGAGCGACAGGTATCTGATGATAGGCGCGAATTAGGTCGACTTTGCTGAAGATAGACTTGCCAGCTAGAGCTGAGGTCAAGTCGTGCATGTGCGGAATAGGGTATTTATCCGGGACGGTAACTTTGTTAAGTGCCCTGTAGTCACCACAAGGGCGCCAGTCACCGGACTTCTTCGGCACCATGTGTAATGGTGATGCCCATGGACTTTTGGACGGGCGGATGATTCCCAGTTCGAGCATTTGCTCGAATTCCGCCTTAGCAGCTTTGAGCTTGTCCGGGGCTAGTCGGCGAGGGCGGGCCGAAACAGGTGGGCCCTCAGTGCAGATGTGATGCGTGACGTTTGACGTCACAGGAGGCAAGTCGTTCAGGACGCGAACGAGTTTAGGGTGCTTGCTGAAAAGCTCTAGAAACGGCTGTGAAGCTTGAGGTAGCACACGAATGGGAGTGATAGCAGACACGTTGGCGCTGGTCCCGATAATACTGAGCTGTGTCCTAGAGTCAATAAGCTTCTTCCGTTTAGCGTCGACGATGAGATCGAAGCGTTGAAGAAAGTCTATGCCTATGATGGCGAAAGGCACAGCAGCGATTATGAAAGGCCAGCGAAAAGTTCGCCGGAGGCCTAAGTTGAGCGTTAGCAGCTTTTCGCCGAAAGTTGCGATTGGTGTGCCATTGGCGGCACGCAGCTTGGTCGGCGATGGTGAGACGACCTCATCTGAGCTACCGGGTATGACGCTAACTTCGGCACCAGTGTCGACTAGAAACGCGGTGCCGGAAGTTAAATCCCTAACACGGATGAGGCGACTTTGGTGTTGGCCGGTCGCGTCCGTCGCCGTTACCGACCGGCCGCGAAGTTTTCCCTGCTTCTCGGCGAAGTTGCAAGGCTTTACACATTTATGAGCTGCGGTACCAAAGCGCTGATGATACCAACAGCTAACTTGCCTGTTGCTAGACCGAGAACGTTTGGAGGGCGATTTTGAGCGGCTAGGACGACGACGGGTCATAGTAAGCTGTTGCACCTGGCGACTAAGTGTCGCAACTTGTGCTTGCAGGGCTTCTATGGTTGACTGTAAGCCAGTGATAGAAGTGCCCTGGGACGCGACGGCATGGACCTTGCTGGCGTTGGCCTGTGGCTGTGATCGTTCATTAACTCGATCCGCTAAATCTGCTAGTTGAGTGAGCGGAACGGAGCTCACTGTAGCGAGAATCGCTTGTGTGTTTTCAGGTAGCCGTTGTAGCCATAGTTCGCGAAGTAAAGTCTCATCCATGGTTGATGAACCAAGGAGTTGCTGCATCTCGCGTAGCAGGGTTGAGGGCAGTTTGTCGCCCAATTGCAGATCCCTGAAAAGCTGCTGCAGGCGAACTTTCTCAGAGGGCATAACACGCTTAATCGTGGCTTCCTTGAGAGCCTCATAGCGGTTTTCGGTCTGAGAAATGATGACGTCACGAACCTGCATTGATATCTCCTTGGGGAGATAGGACAGGAGCTTGCAATACTTCGCGTAGTCGGAAGTGATTCTGTGGTTATAAAACTCAGCCTCCAGATGAGCGAACCACAAAACAGGATCCATGTCCCAAAAAGGTGGCACAGAGAGAGATACAACGCTAAGCAGAGACTCTACGTTATGGTCTACAGATTCCATAGTTTGAAAAAAATGACGCAAAAAATAGGCTACCGTATGCAAAAATAAAACCGGAAAATATGAAAAATAAATGGAACGAGCTCACCGGAGAAAAGTTTGAAATATCCGGCGTTGAAGTTGATCCGGATCCGGGGTCACCAATTTAGAGGGTTGCCTATTCCGGGAGCCCAGAGAGCGATTCGAGAAGACGGATCGAGTTGCAGGGAAACTTTTATTGGTTCAGCAAAAGATTCCCTGTTAGCTAGCTATAAATGAACGACACCGTGGACGCTCTAGCTAGGGGAACGGATCAAGCACAGCACACAGAGCAGTCGCGCGTTGCAACCGAAGCGAGCGCCAAGCAAAAATGGCGATGAGCAAGTAAAGCATTCGAACTCAGCAATCAGTTCAACAAACCACACCGGTTGCCTAAGTGTACAATTATAGAATTTTGGTTAGAATTTTACACAAGCAAACCGGGGAATCTCCAGACTGCTACAATCGATGATAAACCCAAGAAATTTGACACTTTCTAATAGGAACTCCCCTTTTTCAGCCAGTACTCGGAATCCAGGTTCTTCGAGACGCGGAAGCACTCTCTCCAGTATCCTTATCAAGTCATGCGGATCTGAGTCCATAATCAACGCATCTTCCAGGTATACTGCTGTATTTGGTATATCGTCCAGCAGGGTATCCAGTATTTGTTGAAAATGACCGGTGCTGTTTTCACGCCGAACCGCAGCCGTTTGTACTTAGAAAGTCCGAGGTGGCTATTTACTGTCAGCAATGTTCTGCGCTTATGGGCAACTGGGATTTTTAGATAATCATCAGCTAGGTCGCGTTTTGCGAAACATTTCCCCCCATTGAGTTTGCTGAACAAGTCTTCTGGTACCGGCAGGGGATACTGATGATATTCCAACACAGAATTCAAACCTGTCGGGAAATCGGCATAAATACGGACTTTACTGTTTCCTTTCTTTACCACCATGATAAGTGCTGCCCATTCTGAATAGTGGACTCTTTCGATTATCCCTTCAGATTGTAGTCGGTTTAACTCGGCTTCCACTAAGGACTGGGTTGCATAGGGCACCGGGCGTCTTGGTCTAAAGACGGGCTTGGCATCTGGTTTAAGGTTCAATGCGACAGTAGCTATGTTGCCGCATCCGAGACCAGGTTGTATCAATGCGTCGTGACGTCGTTTTAGCTCGGTACTCTGAATTTGAACCATCGGGCTTGAAGTCGACGGTTGCGACAGCAGATTGACTTGCGGTGGCTGACATATACTGTTCACCGATTGATCAAGCAGATCCAGTTCATCCATCCAGTCGGGCGCCAACAAACCTAACCCCGGCTGGCCTGTCACGAAACATGTCGTCTGCATGTTTAACTGACAGTTCAGTTCACAAAGCAATTTTAACGTGCCTGCTGAAGCATTCCGTGCCGTGTGGCCCCTATGTATGAGTGTCGGTCGCCCCAGCATGCACCAAGTGTCGCGAGATATCAGGGTGATATCCGAACCCCTATCCACTTGTAACTTGACTTGGAAGCCGTTGATTTTCGCTTGCTGGCCCCGTCAACCTTGAAAGTTGCGGTGATAGATCTGGTCAAATTGGGACGCCGGAACGATCTGGCATTGTTACGCATCTTCTTGGTCAAAATTGGACGAGTCGCCAGGCAACATGAATCCTTATGCGCATTTCTGCCGCAGCGGTTGCAAGTGTGAGTTTTGAATGGGCACTCGCAGACAAAATGCCACTCTCTGCAAAACCAACATGCAGTGGGAGGTTTAGAATGCGGTGAGTTCACGTGGGGAGCTTCTTTTTGAGGAGTACGGCTGACGGCACAGACAAAAGCTAGATCGTTCTGATTGGAAAACTACTGAATCATTGCGGTGTCGTGCTTCCGATTCGTCATGCGTTGGCATTCACCGGTTACTTGCTGCAATGTGACCTCCGGATTCTTTTCAATTTTGCTCAGTATTCTTGTTCGAATGTCGGCGTTTTTGGATGCTTGTAGGCCACAAACGTTTATGAGACATTTAAACTGGTCAATTGTCATGTTGTGTAGTTGTGACCGTTCGCACTCGCGATTCATACGGTTGGAATAGTCGACCCAGTCTTCGTCTTCCTTTTTTGTTATTGTCAGACACCTGTACCGGATGTTGAACAAAGATGTCTGCTCTCGGAAAATCTGCAACAGGACTGCAGCCACTTCATCAAACGACAAATTGGTACTCTTTTAGGTGAGATAAAATTGGTAAACTTCTCGTGTTCAGCAACACCCAGGTTCCACGGCATTAGTCGAATGTTCTTTTCCGCTGGAAGGCCGGCGAAATCAAGCCAGAATAGGTCTTCATACTTGTGGAAGCAAGCAATAAATGTTATACCGGCATCAGCATTATAATGGAACACACTGATCTGCTGAGTCAGAGTTTCTAGTGAGGGAGCACTTTCAGTTTTCCCTAACCCTGGGCTTGACTGCATTGTCAGCTTCTGAGTTAGCATCTCGATCAGCTTGGCCTGAGATGCTTCAAACTGCGCCTGTTGTTGCTGCAAAAGCCTCTGCAATTGTTCAAAACTGATTGCCATTTCGGGGTTCAGTTGTGTTCGCGTCGCCACTGTTATAACGCTGTGCTCGCAATCGACCGGTTGATTCACGTCAGCTGCTAAAATCTGCGCCCTTAGGCCTGCTCTGTTTGACGTCTTGACCAACCTGACAGGAAGACAGAAGAAAACTCAGCAAACCAGTTGTATTAGGACAGAGAACGCTCATTTTTTATATGTCGGTCTCAACAACCCTCCAAACACCACCAGGCGGAGTTGGCTTGTCCGCTCCGTCTGTCCAGTTCACCGTCTTGCTCGGGCACTCCAGTCTTTGTCCGCCTACCTGATGCATGGCGACACACGTGATGTCCGACGCGCGATTTCATCAGCTTCTGGTCAGGCTTTGGCAACAAGCATGCTATCTGATGCGCGATTTCATCAGCTTTCCGTTGGGCCCTGGCAACATGCACGCATGGTCTTTCCTAAGCACGATTTGTGGCAAACAGGCGCGCGTTGTCAATCAGCTTTCTCGCCCAACTGTCATAATCTCGCAAATATCTGCTACTGGTGCTGTGCACCAAAAGAATTCAGTAACCTTACTGGTACATCTATCCCAACTACGTATTCCGTTTGAGTCCTGTGTTCCGTGGCGCCTGGGATACTAGTCAGTAATCAATGACACGTAACAGACGTGTCAAATACGGGACAGTATAGAACTTGGAGGCGACTGAACCCAACGTATATTGTGCAGGCTACAGAAATAGGAAGCGAATCAACCAGGGCGAGAAACAGTGTAGCAAGATACTCACCAAAAGAATTTATGTCAAGGAAAATGCAGTCAGTAAAACAAGTGTACGTTTTGAATGTTAAACTAGATAAAATTCAATGTTTCAAAATACTGAAAGAGCGTGTTTTCCGCTACACTACAAGGGCCTTCCCCTAGAAGTCTGAAGGATGGTAGGTAAGGATGGGTGCAACTAGTTGCACGGGCAAGATGGGATGTGTAGCAGCGTTCTCTGGGTCCAGGCTTTTGTTATTAGTTGTTTATGATGATCGTGTGGACCAGAGTGCATCATCGGTGAGCAGTCTGGGCGGGCTGGTCGGACTGCAAAAGACTGGCTAGTCCAGAGACTTAACCGACAGGAGGTGCCCACCGCTGCAGACCCAACGGTACGCTTGGGAGATGTCACTCCCCCACCGCACTCTAATCCACAGTCCTCGTCCCACGAAGAAATGCGGGCGTCCTCGTCGGCAACGTGTAGCCAGGCGTTTGGGGACCAATCCGGTCATGGCTTTCCGCGGTCGGGAACGACTGACTGTTCCTTGGGTCAGGAAGTGGGCCTTGGGCCGCCTAGGGAGTCAGGAAGGGGCTTCCTTGAGTTGGTTGCTGAGTCACTCGTTGGTTGCCGTGGTAATTCCGGTGATTGAGTTTTTGGAAGGCAGAACTCAGTGAGGTGGCTAGGGTCGGGGGAGGTGGCTTGACGCTGGAGAGGGAACCTGGCATGCATGGTAAAAGCACACGCTTTCTAGGTTTTCGAAATGTTTTGGTATTTTCGATTTTGAAAAACGTTTGTGGATCAGACGCACGATTTGCACTAAAGACAAAAAAGGCGTGTTACTGGAGATAGCAAACGTTTACAAAATCCGTAAAACCGAATGGACATTTGACCTGTCCACCTCGTCGGTAGGTTGCCTGAGGTCGAGGCAGGGCAGGTTGAGGGTCAAGGAGAAGGAATGGTTTCGGGATATCCAGTACTCGGGAAGTCACCGCAAGTGCAGGTTCCTGTGTTATAGCATCAGGATGGGTAGCAAGTGGATCGTCAAAGGAAGCCACTTTGAGGCGGCCGATGGACATCATTGCTTGGTGACCATTCTGGTCTAACATAAAATGTTTCGGAGTCGGTTGCAGGACTCTGAAAGGGCCAGTGTATGGAGGCTGAAGAGGGTGCTGCATTGCGTCAGCGCGGAGGAAGACGTGACTACAGGTAGAGAGTCCGCTGTGAATTTGCACATCTCTAGTCTACTCACGGGGCAGAGTCGGGCGTAGTGAACGTATGTGTTGAGCTAGGAAGGACACAAAGTTAGGCGGAGGCATACCCGACAGTGCGGAAGACGAAACTAATTCTCCTGGCAGCTTGAGCGTTGTGCTGTAAACCAGCTCTGCTGGTGCACATTGCAAATCAGCTTTGATGCTGCTGCGAATGCCTAGGAGTACGAGCGAAACGTTATCGCAGAGCGAGGCTTTTCGCTGTCTATGGAATCGTTCAAATCAACCGTTGGCTGCTAGGTTACACGCTGTGGTATGAATGCGGCGGCAGCCTAAACATTGCAGAACGTATCGAATCGTGAAGATGCGAAGGGCGTTCTTCGGTCAGTTGCAATGGTTGATGGGCATCCCTAGTGCGAGACCCACCGATCTAAGAAGGTCCGGAAAACAGTCTCAGCTGTGAAGTCTGTTATGAGAATGGCTTCTGGCCATCTGGTGAAGCGGTCGGCACATGTACGAATGTATACGAATCCGCGTGATGGAGGCAAGGGATCTACCAGGTCTAAGTGTACATGCCGGAACCGAGAGTCCGGGACAGGAAATGAAGCAAGAGGACTACGGGTGTTCAATAGTTCAATAGTTCAATAGTGTATGGTGGGATAAAAAGCAATAACTTTACAAGACCCACAGGATGGCGAATGGAAGAAAACCAAAGTTTCAGGTGTGACACAAAAATATCAGTAAGTTAGACACTGCAGTTTGTCATACCGTTATATAATGTGTATCATGTAAGTGCAAGTCCAATAGTCTTTCGAATGTCTCGATGTTTGGTGCGTTCACCACATGCGATGGCAGTGCGTTCCAGTGCGGACGGACACTAAGAGAGTAAAAAAAACTTTCTACAATCTAAACGGGAATATTGAGTCACAAGTTTTAGTGCATGGCCTCGGCATCGTTTGTCGGCAGATAATGTTAACAGCGCCTTACATGGATGGTCCTCTTCTCTTAGTATCCGGTAAGTGAGGATCAGATCACCGCGAAGTCGTCGGTATTCTAAGGAGTACAGACCGATCGAACGAAGGCGCAGTTCATAACTAAGGCCCGATAGACCACGTGTTGCCTTAGTGGCTCTTCTTTGTGGTTGCTCCAGGAGACGAATGTCCCGTTTTAACCACGGACGCCATGCCTGCACCGCATACTCGAGGTGGGGACGAATGTAGGCGTTAATCAATAATGGCACGAGTTGCCGCTCGAAGGTACCGAGCGCTCGCCTCAAAAGCCTCAAGTTTAAGTTCGCTATGTTAGCTGCCTTTGAACATTGGAGCGAATTACCCAGACCTTCTTGCACGATGACCCCTGAGTCTCTTTCGTTGCTCACCTGTTTTATAACGCGCTGCCCCAGGTGATATGTGTTGCTGCAGTTACTGCGCAGCGACAACAGGTGACACTTTTCGGGGTTCAGGGGTAGTTGGTTGTTTACTGCCCATTCGTGAATCCGGTTCAGGTCATCCTGCAGATAGACAGGGTCAGATGTTGACTGAATAGCTCGCCACATCTTAGCATCGTCGGCGAATATTTGCATAGGTGATGGAATGTTGGCAGGGAGGTCGTTGATATAGACTAAAAAGAGTAACGGGCCGAGAACTGATCCTTGCGGTAAGCCGCTAGTGACGCAAAGGCTATCGGATTGGGTGTTGGCGATCCTTACCTCGATTCTTCTGTCGTATAAGTAACTTTCCAACCATGTGAGCGAGGATCTGTGGATACCATAGGCCGCAAGCTTTCGGAGAAGTGCTGGGTGATTGACTCTGTCGAATGCCTTAGAAAAGTCTAAGTAAATCACATCTACGGGAACTCCCTCGTCAGCAGCCCTGGTCCATGAGTCCCGAGCAAGATTGGTGAAGCAAGATCGTCCGCGTCTGCATCCATGTTGGAGGTTGGAGATGATTTGTAGACTTTCAAAATATCTCACCATTTCATCAGCGATTATAGACTCTATCACTTTTGATAGAACAGGAAGGAGAGTAATAGGTCGGTAGTTGGCAGGGTCTGACCGCTTACCTCCCTTGTATATCGGAGTGATAACACGTTTCCACTCAGACGGAAGTGTATGAGAATCAAATAGAAACTGGAAAAAGGTTGCAAGGTGAACTGCCATGGTGGGTGCAAGGGTTTTAAGTACTTTCGGACAGATCTTGTCAATTCCCGGTGTGACGATGTATTTTGGAGCGCTGGCATGGAAGGCCAGCGCGAGCCCAGCCACGAACATCTTTGTTTACACGTGGACAAATGAAACTTTCGGCGACCAGTTTCTAAGATGCACGAATACCGGGATGTGATAGTGTGTGCAGTTCGTCAAAGATTGTGCGTCTGAAGGAGATACGCACGAGAGGTCTAGGAGAATCTGTGGAAGTGTCACAGAGAATGATTCCTTCTGTGGTTTTAGAGTAACAGGTTACACATGCAGCGAAGTGGACTGCATAGTGCGTTGGATGTCTTCATCTTGAGCCTGAGCCGAAGCCATGGCAGCTAGTTTGACGGTAAGCAAAGACTGGAGAGTGAGGTTAACGCGTGAGAGATCGTCGGCCACGGGGTTGTCAGCACCTGAGACATGACATATGTCAGCAGCGAACTGCGTGCCAGAGCCTAGGTGTCTTGTTTCCAGGAATAAGTATTTGTCGATAGCAGAGTTGAAGGGGAAGTTGAGGGACTTATAGTCAGTGTAGACCGTGAAAGCGCGGGCTTCGAGTGTGTGGCGGTAGTGACGAATGACTAGGTCGATAGCGAACAGTACCCTGTCAAACGTGCTGTAGAGGGATTCCGCTGGCTGTATGCGTTTAGAGATGAACCCAGGCGGTTGCCATTGCCCACCAACCTGTTGTTGGAGGACGACTCCTACCGCAACGTCTGAGACATCAGTCGTAATAGAAAGGGCTGCATTCGATCCGTAATGAGCGAGGAGAGCTACTTTGATGATAGCATCCTTGAGCTCGGTAAATGCTTTCTGTGCTGTGTCCGGGAAAGCGAACTTACGTTCATTCCCTCTGAGTAGGTCACTCAGAGGCTGCATGAGTGGAATGAAGAGTCCATAGTAGTTGATCAAACAACCAAATCGACGGAGGTGCTTGAATGACGTTGGGGCTGAGAAGTCTTTAATTGCCTGGATCTTATCAGGAAGGACTTCGATGCCAGACGATGAAACGAGGTGGCCTAGGAATTCCGCCGCTGATTTGCCGGGTTCACACTTAGTCGGGTTGACTGTGACACCATGTTGGAAGAGAGCTCGAAGATGGTCGAGATGCTCTTCTTCCGATGAACTAGCTACTGCAATATCGTCGAGGTAAGTCTAAGTGAAGTCTTGGCGATGAGTGACATCGTGGATAGAGCGTTGGAAGGTTGGCGCGGCGTTGTACAGTCCAAATGACATACTTAAAAATTCAAACAAGTCGGAAGGAGTGATAACGACTGTATTAGGAATATCATTTTCTTCTACAAGTATGTGGTGATAAGCGCGAACAACACCTATGTTGCTGAAGATCGTCTTACTTGTGATGCTTGTGATAAGGTCCTGCATGTCTGAGATGGGATACCTATTTGGGACGGTTAGTCAATTGAGTACGCGGCAATCACCATAAGGGCGCCAGTCACCAGATTTCTTGGGGACCATCTGCACGGATGAAGACCAAGGGCTGTCGGAAGGACGGATTATTCCATGTTCGAACACTTGCTCATACTCCGCCCTAGCTACCTCAAGTTTCTCGAGCGATAATCGGTGTGGACGGCATGAGACGGGTGGGTCATTCGTCCGCATGTGGTGCGTGACTTGGGATGCCACGAGTAAAGTTGCGTTCATTGGTTGAACTAGCTTGCAATACTAGGGAAAGAGGTTGGTGTATTCTGGTGAGTCTGGGAAAAGGCGTAGACCCGTATTATAGATGCGATATCGGTGGTGATGCTCGTACACTTAGTTTCGTTACAGTGTCGACTATCATCTGGCGTTTCGCATCGACCAGGAGGTCGGAATGTCTGAGAAAGTCAATACCAATGATAGAAACGGGACTTCAGCGACTGTGAATCCACAGCGGATGATGCGCCGAAGACCTAGGTCCGGGGTAAGCGACTGAAAACGGTGGGTGGCTATTGGCGTTCCAGTGGTGACATTTAGGCTTGTCGACAAAAAAGCAGCTGATTCACCCAGAATTGGGGGCATGACACTGACTTCCGCCACGGTATCAACTAGGAATTAGGTCTCGGAATCGTTATCTCTAATGTACATAAAATGACTTTGGACTTTGCCGACACCGTTAGTCGCCCTTACGGGCCTGCAAGTTCCCTTGCTTCGCGGAGGAGAAATTGCATGGTTGCTCGCACTTATGGGCTTTGTTACCAAAACGAGAGTGATACAAGCAAAAGCCTGAATTGCTACGCTTCGTGCGACAGGCTGTTGAGCTAGAGTGGCTGCGCTGTGTACCATCTAGGGAGAATTCCTCGACTTGGCGTTGTAGTGACGTTATTTGTGCTGATAAAGCATCCATTGCTGACGGCTCACTAGTGGCAGATGTTGCTGAGGCTGCGGCGGTGCTAAGTCGAGTGAGTGTCCTAGATTCGTTCGTTGGCTGATGTCGTTCGATGATATGGTCTGCTAGTTCTGCAATTGCTGCTAGACGCATAGGAATTGTCACGGCGAGGATTGCCTGTGTGCTTTCTGGGAGACGTTGCATCCACATTTCGCGGAGAATCGCAGCTTCCATGCTGGATGTGTGTGGGGCTGTTGTATCTGTCGCAACAAGGCTGAAGGCATCCTGTCCTCCAGCTGCAGATCCCTAAACGGTCGCTACAGTCGGACCTTGTCGGAGGGCGTAATTTGCTGGATGATCGCCTGCCTTATAGTCTCATATTTCGCATCAGGAGCGGTTAAGCTATGATGTCTCTCACCTGGGAGGATACATCTTGCTGAAGCCGAAACATAAGTTGATGCTATTTAGCATTGTCAGAAGAAATTTTACAATCGTAAAAGATGGATTCTTAATGTGCAAACCATAATAACGCGTCATTCTCTCATGAAGGTGGGGAAGCTAGCCCTACGGCACTAATCACGAACGTAGATGGTTTATCATCTGAACTATTCATCCCATGAAATGAATAAGTATATGCGGCAGGTGAGAAAACAAAACGATAGCGAGTCACTGGAACGAGCTCACCAGTATGAAACGTCAAAATGGCTGATGGCGTGTTCTGAACCGGCGTAACCTATCGTTGCGTGGCGCGTGGTATACTAGTCTGTAAACAATAACACGTAAGAGACGTGTCAAGTTTGGGACAGGTGGAGACGACTGAACCCAGCGTGTATTGTGTGGGCTACAAAAATAGGAAGCGAATCAACCAGAGCGAGAAACGGTGTAGCAGGATACTCACCAAAACCATGTGTGTCAACGAAAATGCCGTCAGTAAAACAAGTGGACCTTTTGAATGTTAAAACACTGATAAAACCCAATGTCATAAAATACTGAAGGAGCGCTTTCCGGTACACCACACATGAGACTTCGATACTCCAGCAACTTCAATTTCTCCGAACACATTAACTAGCGAAAAGGAAACAACCAACAAGCTTTTTCATTATGTTATTGCCACCGTAGCAAAAATGGCTTAAATCATTCATTCTCATAGTACGACCCACACTGAAGTACCGCACCACCATACCTAGCCGCGTGCGCATGATAAATGGAATTGCTTTGGAAAATGTTCAGCGCATTTAGCAAAATGATCATGGAGCGCTCTATGGAGAACGATGTACTTACCTTCAGTTTGACCCACTCAGGTTTCGACAATTGAGAAGCAATCACAATCTTCTCTCCATTATAATATCTTCGCTAACCTTCTCAATTAGTTCAACAAAATGGTTCAACTTATCTCTACTATTCTTACCGAAGACCAAACAAAATCCTCGCTTAAATTTTTTCCCGGTTAGGTACGCCCGTCTACGGAATTTACTGCTGTTGCAACTAGGGGGTCAACGATGGTCTGTCTATATTTAAATCTTTGTTAGAATCTTTTCTTTCTATGCTAACTTTAGTCAAATTTTTCAATCTGTAATAATCTACGAGTTCACTTATGGAATCCGGCCCGAAAAATCATTTGACAAAACTACTTTTGCAATAGCGTTGCATGTTACATATTCCGCAAAACATTACATCGCTGATTCATATAGGATGCAATTTCATTAATGAAATGCTGACGAAACTCACCGTAAAATGATCGTCCTAAAAAATGAAACGTGTCCGCTGGTCAGAAAATGAACCCATTTATTTATTTATATCCAAGCTGAAATAGTAGTCTCGTTTACTTCAGTCTAAGATGGACTGCAGTAACGCCTTATTTGCCTGCGAGTATATAAATATTAGGCTTGAAAGCTTGCCGACTATATACATTCAATAACTCAACGATGCCACATTTTAAGACGACTGCTTGTTTGCTTTATTTCTGACACATGCGTTGGTTAGTTCTGCGGTTCAACTACTGCAGAACTATCCTGATCTCTATGTTCATTTTAGGTTGCAAGCTAGGAATAGGATAGCAATTGGAAAAGGAGCTCTATTGATTTACGACTGTCTCGCATAGTTTCAGGCTTTTGACCTTTATAGACGAGAAATTGCTAGTCTGCCTTTTTAACTGGGGGTGCAATCCACACGTATGCCAACCTCATTTATATAGAGCTATCGGAGTATTGCATCCCTGACCCGATAAAAACGACTCACATTTTGCCCAGAACTGTTATTTTACCTCACATAGCAAGTAGTCCGATGTGCTTTGAACCTGCTAAAACCTGGATACCTGATAAATTACAATACTTGTACATTAATTGCGGCTATATACCCAGATTTAACCAACCTTAGAGAAGGCGCGCGATCAATAACTTCCGGTCGTCCCACATGGAAAGATTGTGATGCATATTTTGCAAAGTATGGTGTTCGTTCATGTATCCTTTTACACGAGGGTGTTGCATGCCAAAAGACTATTGTCACTGAGTAGAACCAAGCCGCCGCACATTGTCTGGCGTTCACCTGTTCGTTGATACTCATTAGAAATACGAATGTGCCTCAGAAATTTATGTGGCCTAGCTACAAGCCTGTTACTGGCCTTTCAATTAGACATGTCATATAAAGTGAACTTATATACAACTAATTGCCGTTTGCAGCAAATATCTAGGACTTTAGCAGCCTAATCTGTTTACTAACCGGCAATCCTAGGTTCTTTTGGACACAGTAGATTCACACATACTTGGGAAACCGACAGATAATGAATGCTGAAACAAAAACTTTCTGAATATATTTCGACAGAGCTATCGGCGAAGGAAGGTCTTCTACTTTGGTGTCAAAGAAAAACCAGCCCGTACAAGAATGTCAACGTTCAAAATTTTCATATGAGGTTAGTGAATTCGCACTTTCACGCATGTTTTAAACACAATTGATCGCCATTTTTAGTACTAGTCTGCACTGCGCTTAATTGTTCTATTCTGATAAACCTTGGTGGCTTTGCTATTAACTACCAACCTTCTGACTTTGTGGGAATAAATTATTTGCAATTTGAACATGGGCCGCTCTTTGTCCGTGAAAAATGTTAGAGTGTAGATGTTTTTCCAAGCTGACCGTAACGGTACCCCAATACAGTTTGACATTAGATACTGGTAGAATAAACTAAAGTTTCTAAGGCTTGGCCCATTAGAAGCAAATAGTTAGGGGTCTATTCTCCAGATTCATGGCAGCCTTCCACGTCATTCGGGATCACATTTTAATCCGTTACGGTGAAAAAGTTTAACTTTAACCACCATGCTTGGTACGCGGAAAGTGTTATGTTTTTCCGTCACTAATCAAAGCTAGTAGTTTACAAGCTTTTGTCTGGAATCCAACAATACCAATTCTCTTGTAGCATTCAGAAGGATTACGTGGCGAAGCCTGCCGCTGCGCGGACGTTAGGTAAACTTCGCTTCCAGTCAGTTACCCCTGAGAGTTTGCCAGGTAAGTCGACAGCTGTTTAAGCGTCGTCGGACGGTGGGAATTCAGAGGAATGTCGAGCAATGGTATGAGATGGATTTTTGTGCGAACATTCCTCAATTCGCAATATAGATGTCAGTTATACTGCAGATCTCCTGTCGGATGTGTGCCATAGCAAAAATGCACATGTTTCATTGGCGCAAGTAGATCAGTGAAGGATAATCTAACGTTCGAGGTAACGGTGTGTAGAGTACCTAACAATAACTTACACTTCTGACAATGTGAGCCGCTCTGGAGTATAACCGACTTATTAGTTTTAGTTTGACTGCATATCGAGGGGAATTTTCAAAACTTGCCATGCACCAACTTACTAAAGAATTGTAAATTATGCGATTTTGTGCAGTATTGTTTTCTAAGATGTTGACCGACAAAGTGGAAAACTGTTTTGATTCTTGCTGAACCTCTGGGCTGTGTGAGTACTGAATCTGAGATTTTCGAAGGTTCTATTCGGTTACAAAACATAACTGCTCGGTCGCATCTGGAGACGAAAATGCAGCTGGGGTCGGCACACTTCTTGGTCTCCTCGAGTAAGGAGCATACAAATATACAGGCTGGAGTTGAAAACTACGCTCATTGTGTTACCCTCAGGGGATCTAGGATGCGAGGATTGTCAGTGCTGAGTTCTACTTGGAAGTCTTTCAACGGCTGCAGTAAGTCGCAGCCCTTCACTTGAGGATCCATAATGCCTGGATTATCCACCACCACGAAGCTCCTAATAATACTAGAGTGTCTGGCAAAACAACTCATGGCAAACCCCACTGGCCATCTTACACGTCGAACTTGGCCCATGCTGACATCTTTTTGTGCTTCTCAGCTCAAATTTGTTCTGATGGGATGGCATTTTCGGGTTAGTAAAAGCGTGAAATCCGCAGTGCTAATGCCTTTGAAAAATAGCATTATCAAAGACTTTTAGACTAGATACATCGAGTGGGAAAATGGTTTTTAACCTTGTACTTATGGTTAACTATGTTGTTTCGAAGAGTTTCAGGTGTACATAAGTATGCTTTGGGATCCGAGAACTTTTAACACGAGAAGCGCTTTAAGTATTTCTCATTTATGTCTAAACAAATGGGCATTAGCAGTACGCCGGTGTGCAGTGCCGACACTACGCTGCAGCGTAACCATCACCAGTCACATATGGGTTAAGGATATTGCGAACGTCGCCCGGTACCTACGCAGACTCAAAAGCGCGCCCTCGGACTACGAGACAGACTTGTAAGCCTTAAGGCTAAGGGCTGACATATCTAAACAAACGAATTTGTAACGTTTATCTGTGAACTAGTAATTACCATGAAGCAGTAAGCCATCTTAGCATTGTTCAATTATTATCACCATTTCTTTGCATCTGAAATGATTTGACTCTGTAATAGTTGCATATAAGCCTTCATGATGTGCACAGTGTGCCGCTACACTATAGTTTGATTCCAGTGTTTTAAGCTACCGACACTTGTTATTAAAGTCACTTGTCGAATACCATAGTTTCTTCAGTTCACTTATTATGGCATAACCGCACTCGGTTTCATTTTAAACATGGGTGCCTGTTTCATGTAATTTTTCACTAGCTGGAAAGATGGTCTGGCATTTTGTGCACTGATTCACCGACATCGACCTGATTTAATCGACTTTGCTAAACTGTCACGGGTGAGAGTACCGGGAGGCAGCCGAGCCTTGAACGTTACACACATATGTATATTGTACTACAGCATGTTGCATTTTTATCGCATGAATGTGTACCGCACATCGTGCAAAAAGTTGCTCATTTTTGCTCCTTACTTGAGCTTTGCGCTCCGAAACGACATGCATAAAAAGTCGGCTTTGCATCGCGGCACAATGCATGGTTGTTCATCACTGTGCTCTGTGTAAATTGTTGAACTGTGTTTGAACCCTCTCAATTAAACGCTCGTGTCCAATCCGCTTCAATCTACCGTCAATTTATCTCCAACCCTGTATAGCACACGAAGCATACGTTAAATTCAAACAAATATGTTATCTGTAGTGATCAGTTATCTTGACTATAAGCGGTGAAATCCGCCTCACAGGTGAAAGGCCAACCGGATGTAGTTTCTGCTATCTATCCTATCTTGTTCCAACATGCACTGATGAAATATTGATGCTTATCTTTGTGCTAATTCGCGATTAACTTAATCCTCATATTGGTGTAATGCCCGCTTCTTTCCGCACACAACCCCCCCTGTCTGTTAGGAACGCTTCTAGACCACATGAAACTTATTCAACTTGTCTGACTAGGTTGCATGACTAGCAGTAATAAGTCTTGTTTTGCTCCAACTAGGCTGACTGGTCAAGAATTTCAGCAGGCCGCCACCAGGTCACGCATCCAAGCTGGTATGTAGTCTCTTCTTTTGCTATGCTAAACTGAGAGCGAAGAGTCCCATCCGCTGTCGTTGGGAGCGTGCGAGGTCACTGGGTTCAATTTTTTACTCTAAAGTTGGCTGACTAGCACAATCATCAAATTTTTACTGCAACGAGGGGTGTAACGGATCAGTGATGGGAAGCATGACGATTGCGCTTAACCAATTGGTTGTTGAAATAGACAATTAGCACTCTTCGCATTGATTTTTACATTTCAGCCGCCCAATTACTTGCTTTCCACTTCGCCCAAACATGTTTTCATTTCCAGTGGGTTAGTTTTTGTGACGTTTATACCTTCGTATTGGATCAATAGGCATTCTTAGCGAAGGAGCCAAATTACAGGCTAAAAATAATACTGTCCGTTCGTTGCACAATGAGCAAAAAGGGTTTAGTTTCTGTTCCGTTAGAGGACATCATAGTATGCATGTATGTCACTGGTGGCCTGAACCAAGTACGATTTAGAAAACTCTTACTCGTTGCTGTCTCCAATAGATGTATTAAAAAATTTCGAGTATTAACAGCTTCCGCACTTTAACTGCTGCTACTGAAACACATCTACCTTGGTCATGATTATCAAAGTCTATCTTGCCCACGGATTTGTTATTATGTTTGTTGGAGAACTACACTGTGTACTGTGTATTCAGCGCACAAATTAGTGACAAACATTGACTAAATGTGGACAGCATAGCCCTACCTTCCATGCGAGAGTTCTGCTGAAATTAAAAGAATCCACTAGCGCATAGTTTGTTACTGTAAGGCGCCCGAATTATCAGACCAAAGGAACTGTGTTGGTCATAGCAGGGTGTCAGTCAGGATTCATGCTATTCATGCTGCATCTGTGACATGATGTTTTGTTTTGAACCAGACATACCGAATTGCCACTTGATTCAGTGAAATGTTCAAAAGCACATTTATAGCCCTTACATTTCTAATACCTTACACCGCGCATGGGTGGTTTGCGGAGGACGCCGGGCTGCGCATCATAAGAGATGAAACGATGCACATTTCTACATACTCACGTAGTTGTACTGAGTTAACGGTACCTGAACCCATACTTGAACTGAATTATTGCCATTTGCCCATATCCTTGCCGCCTGTATCGTCTAACAGTGTGTCATATATGGGAGCGACAGAAGTAGTTCTCAGATGCTAACACTTTACAAGCGGTTAATATCACTCTGGGTAAACAGATTATGCATTCCCGACGAGATGCCGATCCTTAATGTCAAGCCATACTTAATCGAATAACACATGGCATTCTCAGTAACGATTGAATTGCGATCTGTTGACAACATGAAAAGACAAATCACTTTTGGCAGCCGTAGATTCCTCCATCACATCCGGGGCGTTATGGTTTGATGAGACTTGTCGTATTTTGGCGCGCAGCCGGGTTAAAAATAACACCCAGTGGGCGGATTTCTTTATTATGTGAACTGGGTGGTGTTACCGCTGAGTCGATTTGTTATAGTAATCTTGTCTGTTTCTATACCTTTATCGGATAGTCCACGTGAACAAATGATGGTTTGCTGTCACCCAGTACAACATTTCATCTCTTCAAACAAACTACTAGACGCAGATGAAACTGGTGCTACTATAGTTACCCGTTGTACATTGCTGACGGAAGTGATGACGTTGCAGCCTAATTTCATTTCCCACTGAGTGTCATTAAAGACGCAGGCGTAAAGACTGAGGTTTCTTAGCGATGTTGGATAATGTCGCATTCTTGTCACCAGTCGGATATGGTAGTAGCCGTTTGTTTGGAATACTCGTCCGACCCATCCAATTACTCCGCTATTGTGAAGCTGATACTCACATGTGTCCAGTGATCAGCGTGCACACCGATTGTTCTTACTCTTTCAGAAAACTTTACCATGTGGAAGGTGTGAAATTAATTATCTCAGGACTTTGCAGCCAAACATGAGGTTTTCTAGCCTTCGCCACAAGGAATAAGTGCCCTAGATTGCATCTGGGGTGAGATTATTAGGTCTTGCTTATACTAGTCACATCATGTTGTTCTTCTAGGGCAAAATTTTCTACTGTCTACTTTGCTTGTGTCCTAAAGTGAATTTCACCATCTGGTAGACATTTGTGGATTCGAGATACCATGTGGTGCTCAGCAAATTTCCCTACGTGGCCTTTATAAATTCATTTCGGATGGCTGCACACTTTCTGAGTGCTTCTAACAACCGAAATACAAAGGCTAGTAGGTTTGTTCTTATTTCTGCTCTACCGAAGTGGATAGCTGGAGTTAGATGTGTGGTCCGGGACTAAATGTTTAAACGCCGAAGTTTCGATCACTAGGTCAGTGAGCCAAATCAGCAGCGCTTGCTTTAGTGGTCAGGGATGTATTGTTGTGTCTTAGGGTATCCGTCCTATGTTATGACGCTGAAGCTCTGGTCGAGCGGCCATGTCGTCTGAATTAAAATTTGATCATTCCTATCAATGACACTGCATCTGAAGTGTTTTCTGCATTGCTTGTGGCCAACACTACGTGTCGTGAATTTTCAACTTATCAAGCACTAGTGAACGACGGAAGTAGTAGTTGTGTTGCGGATGATTTTATACTCTGGTTAAGGTAGCCTTATGTGGAGTGAGGAGACGTCGATGATACAAAGCCCTTTGGAATTGATAGAGCATTTTCTTCTTGTTAAAATGTGTTTCGCATGCCAGCACACCAACACCCGCGTCGTACGTTGTTTGCGCTCCCGGGGTCTGGATGGAAGAGAAGGTGGGGAGGCAAAGTACTGATTTGGTTGAGAGGACTGAAAACCCTCACTTCGAAGTTTGAGTCGGTTGGTCTTTCTCGGGTAGCGAATTGGGGACCGAAGGACGACCAACACGTTTGATTGGACACACTTGCTAATATGACAAAGCGCCGGCCCCAATGGCGTACGTGTTGTAATTTTCTTTCTCCACCCCCTCAGCTTAAGATTCCTCTCCAATCACGACCTCATAATGAGTGAATAATTTAACATTAAACCACTTGCTTTCTGAATATTTTGCTGTGTAAATCATATCTTCTTTGCACTACAGCACATTACCTGAGGTGTGTTTCCCCCCTCAGCCAACGTGTATTGATGACGATGATGCTAAATCCTCGAAACGCTATGTAGGAGCTCACCTGCGAGAAGATTTCACTCTCCTTCATGGTAATAGTCCAAAGGATGACACCTGCACTTGACCAAATGTGCACCATCTGTTCCACTGTTGTAAGCTTATCCAGTTGTAAAAAATCCCGTTGGACGATTAAACTTGACCATCGGAAGGCAAAATCCGTCTGAGTCAGGGCTGTTCTAACGTCTGAGTGTACCTCTTCTGGATACACAATCCAGGTTATAGTACAACCGGATTGTCATGACCTCAGGCGCTTCCATTACTCGCCTGCAGCTACTCTTTGGCTGCTTATCGGGTGCCTGATAGATGATTTTGTATGGCTGGGTCGAGTCGATGGCGGTGTCTGCGTCGGTGGGGTGAGGTGTGCAGCTATCCAGGAGCTTAAGGGTTTACGATGCGCCGTCTCAAACATTCGAAGTTAGAGTAGCGATTTACGTTTTGGTAACCAGAGCCACCGCGGTCACCATGTCGAAAAGGACGTATCACGTTAAACCGAGAATTTACATTATTTTAAGTAGTGCCATGATTATTATTAGTTTAAGCACTCTGTATTTGCAATACACCCACAAGGTTTTGGTTCAATACATTGTTCGCCCTTGCTAGTAATAACACGAAAACGCTGGCCGTGGACAAATTTATTTCCCTTCGGTTCAACATCCTGGCGACTGGTTAACTCCTGGTTCCGCTGAGGATTCTGTTATATGAATTGGGAGTCCAACCGGCAAGTTGGAATACTTAATGCAAGTCTGGATCAATACATGCAGTCTTATTAAGGATGGCTGTTTGGACTGAGTCACTCAGTAACTATCTAGACCGCAGTAGTTTCCGCATCGGATATTAGGTCCGCTCAATTTTCATCACCAACATTCCACTAATAGGTGAATGATTAGCGAAAGTTAAAGCGTTTTTGGTTAGTGAACAGACGTAAACCATCTCTGCCCAACTGGCACTTAATTAAGGCTAGTTATTCTACATGTAGTTGCTGGTAGAGGCTTCATGTTGCCAGGAATGCGACCAAGATTAGTTATTGAACGATAGAACACTGGATTTATCACAAATAAAATGCGAACACTTACCAATTTCCAGAGGTAAAGAGTGAGATCAAAAAGTGCATGAATCAAAAAATAACGTGTAGCGATGGACTCACCGCAAACTGC